CTGTAAATAACTTTGTCAGGACCTTGTCTGCTGCTGACACCCAGGGCTATGCAGGTGGGTATATCCAAGAAAACCATCACAACACAGCTTCCAGTGCTCAGGACCAAATAAGAATGTGTGCACACCTCAGGACCAAACATGAAGAAGCTGATGCTAGAGAACCATGCAGACAGCATGGAGAGACATAGGTGAGACCCAGGGCCCAGATATGAATTACTCATATGAACTATACATACCACCCCAGGATAAAAAAAAAAAAAATCACACTGCATCCAGATGATGCAGGTAGTAAGAGAAAAACAGGAGAGGCAAGGGGACACCAGCCAGCATAGTTCAGCACATAGCAGCCTGCAGGAAAGGAAAACATCATCACAAAAGAACTTCAGGGAGGATGCTGAAAGAACAGCTCATGGTCTACTGAGGAGCCAGCACCTAGGTACCAGCAGTGCTGCACAGGCAGGGTGAGGAGATGTTAGTCATAAATGGGAAGCAGTACCTAGAAGACATGGGGCACTGGATATGGGAAGGCCACTGTCAGCAAGAGGGAAGTAAGGGGGACCCATTAGGGTGACTGCAAGCCCCCTCAACCTGCATCCTCTACAGCCAGGCATGGGCTTCACAGAAGCTGGGGTTGTCCAAGAAAAGAGCAGTGTTCACACTGCAGCCCTGAAATCAAAGCACCTACCAAGGGAACTGGGGAGGAAGTTGAGCCTATAGTCCTGATATGCTGCTGAGGAGGAAGGGAAGGGCAGAGGCTACCTCAGAGCACAGAAACAGGTGTGAAGACTTACCCAGAGAAGTATAAGTGCCAATTTTCCCACCATCACATCAGGGTACAAGCATCTTTGAACCTCATCAAGGAGATCCCATTCTTGAGGAGAAACAGAAATCCAATCCTCAAAGGTCACAGTGCCCTGCCGGGGTGGGGAGAGATGACATCATAAAGAGTCCACTCCTGAAGCTCCACAATCCATCCTCATCTACCCCATGCCCATCTTCTTCCTAGCTCCATATCTCAGAGGAGAAACCAGGCCCTGGTGTCACTGTCTACTCATAGGCCCGAAGATTGTTCAGCCACCAGGCACAAGGGCAATGACACAAAGAGACATGCAACTGTGGGCTTGGCAAAGCAGCATCCAATGCTAGTGTCAGGTAATCCTCTGTATGACCAAGGTCACAGAAGTCTCAATTCCAGGCACCTGGGGCCATCACACCATTCTCTAGACTGCACACTCCTCACGTCTGGACATCACAGACATTTCCATCACAACCCTCTCATGGCCCCATGCTAAGCATTTCCCTGGCCTCTTCACATTCCCCTTTGTACCTCACTGGTGAGAGCAGAACTGTCCCCTAGGGTTATGGGGATGGCAAACACACAACACATGACACTTAGGCAGATGAGATCCAAGCAACTTATTAGTCACATATATTCCCAACCTGGGAAAGGAGAAACCACACACCATCAGGGGCTGCACTATAGATAAGAATGGACAACCAGAAATTGTGGGATGCATGTTTTCTAGGATCAAGAGGGCAAGGTGACCTATGGTTCGAGTATGATTCCTATGGTACGAGTATGCAATTGGCCTTACTCCATCACTGGTGGGGAACTAAAACTCACTACCAATGCACTGATTCCAACTTGATAAAAAGGTTTACTTACTTGGTAGACCTTACCCAGGGTATAGAGTGGGGAGAACCTGTACTCAGGGCATAGAAACCCATAACAACTGGCCTTATTTCCAGGCCTTACATCTCATCTTGGCAAAGAGCTGCAGAATAAACCTTCTAAGTCAACTTCCACGGCACCCAGGGCTCCCAACAGCAGTGGCAGCCCAAATCCTAATGCAAAAGCCTTCCTGCCCAGCTTGATTGGAATCTGATACCCAGCGCCCTTCCACTTCTGGCCCCACATGCCATCCCTCAGTTGCAAAAGTCTTCCTCTGCCCACCAAACCTTCAAAGCCCAGCTCCGCTGCTCACTCCTCTGAGCACCATGTCGCTCTGAGATCACAGGCACGGCTGGCCTCATCTGCCAGGCTGGACCAAACCCTGCGCCCCGCTCCCCCGGGCACCACACACCCTGGAGAGCCCAGGGACCCTCAGCTCGACTCGGGCCTGAGTGTCGTCTTCCCTTCTCACTCCTTTGCTGCCGAACCACTGCTCGCCCACTCTTCCTCTGAAAGCCTTGGCCATGCAGGACCGTCCTGTCCCCAACACGTTCTCCCTTCACGACCACAAGACCATTCCTCAGCCCAGAAACCCAGGCACGTCCCCCCCGCCCTGCACCGACACGGAGCCCGCGGGAAGAGGCGGCCTCTTCCCCGAGCCCCAGCGGACTGCCCGGGCGTCTGCCTCGGTGCTCTTGTCCCTGCGCCCGCCGTGGGGCTCAGGGAAGGGGTGCCGCCTCCCGGTGCGGGAGCGGCCTCGTCGCCTTCGTACCGTTCTTCCTTTAACTGTCTCGAACGTTTAAAAACCCCACCACGAACGGCGTCCCAGCTCCGCTCCAACCCTCCCAGATTCCAGCGGCCTCACAGGAAAGTGGCATGACTCCGCCCCACTGCTAGTGGACTCCGGAAGTCCCGCCCCGAGCGCGAGTGTGGCGGAAGTGCCGCCGGCGCAGGCGCGGCTGGGTGACGCGTTTCCGTGGAAGGAGGGGGGCTGCCGCGAAGGACGCCGGGAAGCGCCAGGGCACGACTGGAGGGCCTTGGTCCGTCCAGTCGGGCTTTGGAGACTGGTTAGTCCTCGCACTGACTTTGGAGGTTCCACAACTGAGCAGTGTTATTTGTTGATGGACATTAAAGCTTGTTTTGCCATGTTGTCTATCAAATGAGCAAGCTGATGGCAGTGGTAGCTGCTCAACAAATGGTTGTAGGTAGGGTTTTGAAAAGCAGTTGCTGTAGACTGAATGTGTCCACCCAAATTCATACGTTGAAGCTCTGATTCTCTGTGATGGTATTTGAAAATGGAGATGTTGGGAGGTAATTAGGTCATGAGGGTGGAGCCCTGGTGAGTAGGATTAGTACCCTTACTTACAACCTCACAAAAGCCAGGATTTTCTCTCCCTTTCCATCTCAAAGATCCCTCACCAGAAGCCAACCATGCTAGCACCCTGATCTTGAACTTCAGCTGCCAGAACTATGCGACATAAATGTGTTTTTTCCCTTTAAGCCACCCAAACTAAGATACTTGTTAAGGAAAGCCAACCAGACTAAGGCAAGTGACTTCACGTTAGTGCCTCCCTGAGTTAGGATTTTGTCTAAGAGTAGCTGGGCAGAGATAAGGATGTCTTTGGGAACACTGAAGGCCCCCAGGCCCTGAGAGTTGTGAATCAAGGCAGCTCCCTGGCTGCTATGTCATCCTGCTATCAACTGGAACATCTGTCCCATATGTGGTTCTTTCTTTCCCTCTCTATACCCCACATGCAGCTTCAAACTATTGGCTGGAAAGTTGTTTGGGGGTTTTTGTTTTGGCAGTGCTGGAGGTGGAACCCAGAGCCTTCTGCCTACAAGGCAAGCACCCTACCAACTGAGCTATATCCCCAGCCCTGAAAGGTTCTTTAGACTGCCCCAGCCTCTACTACACAGCACCCCTGTTCCTGTGTCACATTGTCTTTTATAATTTTTCAAGTTTAGGAAATATGGAAATTGAAAGCAAAAGTCAGGAGACTGGTCTGTCTTCAGCTCATCCTCAAGTTAGACTAAATCTTTTTTGTTAATAGCTCGTTTGAGACTTAATTAATATACCATGCAATTCTCTTTTAAAGTGTACACTTTTGGGTTCTGAAAGTCAAGCTCAGTGATAGAGCATGTACAAGGACCTGGTTCAATTTCCAGCATACATACACACAAAGACACAAGTGCAACTCAGTGGTTTTCAGCATATTCACAAGGTTGAACAGCCATTACCACTATTAAATCTTGAAACATTTTCATTACCCCCAAAATAAATACCATTCCCATTAGCAATCAATCCTATTTCATCCTTCCCCCAGCTCTGTAGCCACTAACCCATTTTCTGCAATTGCAGGTCTGACTGTTCTGTGTATAAAAGGAGTTGTATAGTAGGTGTCTTGCTCCTTACACGTAGCATGATGTTTTCTGAATTCATTTATGTTGTGGTGTACATCAGTACTTCATTTCTATTGCTAAAAAAAAAAATCTGATTGTAAGGATAGATTGCATTTTGTTCATCCATTTATCAGTTGGTGGACATTTGGGTGGTTTCCACTTTCAGCTCTTCTGAATAATGGCATTATGAATATTTGTGTGCAAAGTTTTGTGTGGAAGGTGTTTTCAATTCTCTTGAATGTGTATCTAGGAGTAGAATTGTTGGGTCAGGCAGTAATTCAGTGTTTAACTTTCTAGAAACTGCCAGACATTTCCAAAGCAACTGCACCATTTAGACTAAATATTGCCTCCTGTGTTTTCACAGCCCTTGGCAGCTCCCGGCTTGTAGCTTGCTACATTTGGCTATGTCTATGGCTCCGCACTACAGGCCACTCTGCTCCAGAGAGCTGACATCCACAGGCATGCCTGTCTTAATCTGGTGTCATTTATTGTGGCAACCTCAGTCTCTTCATGTGTAAAATAGTCACAAATAAATGCCTGGAATTGATAGAAAATGTCAAAGAGAAAGTTTTGTTTAATGAAAGCATTTTGCTAGCATGGTGTGGGGTCCTGCCCAAAGAAACTATCTGTGCCCCTATCTGAACCTGTGAGGAGCAAGAGAAGAAAATCCTGACAATTTCTCCTTTTCCCTTAACACAGTTGGATTCCTTCTGTTCTCCAATCAAGCTACAATTATCCATGGATGATCAGAGCTACGAAGCAAGGGTTGCTGACCACAGGAATTTATTTTCTGTTACATACTTCCGATGCTGCTTTCTCTGGAGTGCTCTTCTCCGGGCTCTCGGAGCAGGTCCTGCTGCGTCCTCAGCCACCGCTGCCATGTGGTCTTGTCAGCCTGGCGAGCGCACCCTGCATCTCCCACTTGCTTTCACAGATTCTCCATTTTTGCACCATACATGGCATCCTTTATCTTTTCTTTCATTAACTTTTGCTCTTCCCTCAATTTCTTCTTTTCAATATTTTCCCTCCTTTTCACTTTGATAACTAAAATGTAGAGATGAAGTTATTGAGATGTGAGAAAGTGAGGAATGAGAATGGAGAAGAAAGGATTGAGGGTGCAACATGGGAGATGAAGGAACAAGCAGTGGGCTTCTTGAGATGATAAATGTTATTTAATTTTAATGTCATTTCCCTTTTGTATATAAAAACTTTATAAATGCCTAATTTTTAAAAAGAACAAGTAAAAGTCATAATCCAATGTAACAAAAAGATATTGAAAAAATATTTTCTATTAGGTTATGAAAAGGGCTCCTGGGCCCTTTGGCTCTTTTGGGCTGTCCATGTCTGGAATTGTTAGAGGGAATCCAGAGGTGGGTATCAGTATGACTTGATCAGACAGAATCACATGTGTTCCCTCTACAAGTTTGTAACAGGTGTCCAAGAATCTCAGAACTTTCAGAGATCAGTGTGCAGGAGCATTCAGGCCACCCCTTCACAGTGGGCAGGCACCCCTGGGGGTAGGGGCATCTGTTCTGTGATCCTGGACCTACCTCCACAGCAGACTGAGGCAAGAGAAATGTCTGCATAACTGTGTCCTAAACATGAGAACAACGTCATAGAAACAATTATACTTAAGGGAAAGTTCTGTTCTGCAGAGTTACTTCCTGGACTCTGTCCCAGGGTCCTTGGGATCACCATGCATTAGGAAACAAGCAGCCACACAGCCATCCGCCTTCCAGGACTGGAGGAGAATGGTTGCTTCTGTGGGTATGGACACAGGTGTCCATCTTTCCTACCAGGGAATCCACTATCTCCCACTTATCTTTGCTTTTACAAACTAAACCATTAAAAAAATTGCTGGCCGAGCTTTCGTGTGACCTTGTATCCACTTAGTCAGACTAGCCCATCACTACCTGAACGGATGAACTTCCCCAGCTCCTTCTCGTTCTCTGGAAGCAGGTTGGTGGACTCATCCTCAGAAACTTCCTCATATGGTATCTCAATGTTTTCATAAAGCACCGCAAGCTGCTGCTTCTCCTCAGCCTTTACCAGCCTACTGGAGAAGAACACATGAGTTCAGGTGCAGTTTTCATGATGAATCATTGTCTTACTCATGCACCATTTTAACAGCAAAGGAGGTGGTAAGTGGGGATGGAGGAGGAAGCAGGCGATTAAATAAGACTGATCATGAGAAGACCTCAGATTTCTGGGATGACTGGCCAAATTCTGGAGGAAGGAGTGAGTCTGATAATCCGAAATTGTGGATCAAAGCCAGGACTAGGAGTGAATGAGGCACTCACATTGGGTACAAAATTTAAGGGGTTGGTAAAAACAAACAGAAAACCTACCATCAAGACAAATCATAATTCAATGTAATACATGATGAAATAAAAACTAAAGCCAAAAATGTATCATAAACACAGTAACAACATTTTGAATAAAGACGGGTGGGTATTAAAAGTCTTCCTTTTGCTGAGGCTCCATAACATGGCTCAGCCCAGCACCGTCACTGGTTCTGTATTGAAAATGTTGATATTTTGGTCACTGTGGATTTTTTTGGCATTAATCTGAATTTTAAAAGTACTGCCTTAAAATAGTACTTATCCTGCTTACTGAGTTTTTTGATCCTCCCTTAAACTGAGGCTACTGAAGGGAAGTCACTTCCTGTGGTCCAGTCCTGGAGTGGATCCTGGAGCTGCTGTTCCTGTTCACTGTGGACCATGACACAGGCTCCTGATTTTTCCTGACATCATTGCCCTCCCAGTTCTGTGAGACTTGGGTAATGAAAGTTACTTTAAGGGGACCATGATGAGAAAGGTTGTGGGAGCATCCAGAGCTTGCTATGGATGGCAAGAACTGGACTGGTAAACTTTACCAAAGTTGATCATGATATTGGGTAGAATGAGGCCTTCACCTCAAGAACAAAGTTTAAGAGGTACCAAAACACCCAGGCACAAAGATAAATACTGACACAATATTTTCAAAAATTGAAATGAATGACCCCCAAAAACCATAAGCCAAATATTAAAATCTTAAATGAAGATAGGATCCCAATGCTGATTTTAAGTGATTTTTCATTTCCAAACACATTTTAAAATAAATGAGATTGATTTCAAAAATTGAAAGTCACAACATAAATTGAAATGTTTTATCTAAAACAAAGCTAGAATTTGTTAGAATTTTACCTTCCTGGTTTAAATGAAAGTAAACTTGCCAGTAGTATTTTCGAAAGCTACTTCTGTGAAAGAGAAACCAGTAGAGATAGACCAGTACATAAAAGCATGCTTCTTGGACCACGTGTTTTTTCTTCTGCCCCAGACTCTAGGCAACTTGTGAGGCACATAACAGGTGGCACAGATGATGATGGTCACAGGGTTAAATGTAGGTCAGTGCTTTATCCAGCACTGAACTTCAGCAATGTTTTAGTGACCTAAGTTAGAAGCTTCTGAGATTTGTTAACGTATTTCCCATAGTAATTAATCACATTTCAGTTGCACCCATTAAGTCAACCCAGATTATCACCTCAGATAACCCAGAACCAAACAGCAGGCTCCATGCTGGTTAGTGGAGCACCTCCCATTTTACTTTCCGTCTCATTTTACCTTCAGTTGACCTAGTCCAAAGTGGTCTTTGAGTGGCTTTCTTAAAAACATTCCATGTGGGGCAATATGTTCCTTGTTCTCACACCTGATTCTCAAAGAGCAAATACATTTGTACTTCTGGGGCTGTTTCTGATGGGTGGGTGGAACTCCTGGGAGTAGGAAGCACAGTGTAGACTCTGGGCCAATAGCACAATGTCACTTTACAACTAATTTTTTAATCTTTTATTTGTTATACTTGGTTATACATGACAGCAGAATGCATTTCAATTCATTGTACACAAATGGAGTGCAACATTTCAATTCTCTGGTTATATACAGTATAAAGATGCACCATTGGTGCAATCACACATGTACCTAGGGTGATGATATCCATCTCATTCCACCATCTTTCCTATCTTCATAACTCCTCTACACCCTCTCCTTTGCCCAATCCAAAGTTTCTCCATTCTTCCTATGCTACCCTCATCATAGATCAACATCCACTAATTAGAGAAAACATTTGCCCTTTAGTTTTTTGGGATTGGCTTACTAAGCTTAGCATAATATTCTCCAACTCCATCCATTTACCTGCAGATGCCATAATTTTATTCTATTTTAATGCTGAGTAATATTACATTGTGTATATATATCACAGTTTCTTTGTCTATTGATCTATTGATATTTAGGTTGGTTCCACATTTTAGCTATTGTGAATTCAGCTGCTATAAACATTGGTGTGGCTATGTCACTATACTATGCTGATTTTAAGTCCTTTGGGTATAGACTGAGGAATGGGATAACTAGGTCAAATGGTGGTTTCATTCCAAGTTTTCTGGGAATCTCCTCACTGCTCTCTAAAATGGTTGCACCAATTTGCAGTCCCACCAGCATTGTATGAGTACCTTTTCCCCCCACATCCTCTCCATCACTTATTATTGCTGGTATTCTTGATAACTGCCATTCTGACTGGGGTGAGATGAAATCTTAGAGTAGTTTTAATTTGCATTTCTCTAATTGCTAAAGATGTTGAACACTTTTTCATACATTTGGTGATCACTTGTACATCTTCTTCTGACAAGTGTCTGTTCAGTTCCTTAGCCCATTTATTGATCGGGTTGTTTCTTATTTTTGGTATTAAGTTGTTCGTGTTCTTTATATATCCCGGAGATTAGTGCTCTATCTGATGTACGTGTGGTAAGAATTTGCTCCCATACTGTAGGCTCTCTCTACACCTCAATGATTGTCTCCTCTGCTGAGAAGTAGCATTTTAGTTTGAATCCCTCCCATTTATTGATTCATGCTTTTATTTCTTGCACTTTAGGACTCTTGTTAAGGAAGTTGAGAACTAATCCAACATGATAAAGATTTGAGCCTATTTTTTCTTCTATTAGGTGCAGAGTCTCTGGTGTAATTCCTAGATCCTTGGTCCACTTTGAGTTCAGTTTTATGCATGGTGAGAGACAGAAGTTTAATTTCATTTTGCTACATATGGATTTCCAGTTTTTCCAGCACCATTTGTTGAAGAGGCTTTCCTTTCTCCAATGTATGTTTTTGGTGCCTTTGTCTAATACGAGATAACTGTATTCATGTGGGTTTGTCTCTGTCTCTTACTCTGCACCATTGTTCTACATGTCTATTTTAGTGCCAATGCCATGCTATTTTTGTTACTATTGCTCTATAGTATAGTTTAAGGTCTGGTATAGTGATGCTTCCTGCTTTACTTTTCTTGCTAAGGATTGCTTTAACTATTCTGGGTCTCTTATTTTTCCAGATGAATTTCATGATTGCTTTTTCAAGTTCTATGAAGAATTTCACTGGGATTTTAATATAAATCCCATTAAATCTGTATAACAGTTTTGGTATTATGGCCATTTTGAATATTCTGTCTATCCAAGAGCACAGGAGATCTTTCCATCTTCTAAGTTCTTCTTCAATTTCCTTCTTTAGTATTCTGTAGTTTTTATTGTGTAGGTATTTCACCTCCTTTGTTAGATTGATTTCCAAGTATTTTGTATTTTCTGTGGCTATTTTGAATGAGGTGATTTTCCTAATTTCTCTTTCAGTGGATTCATCACTTATGTATAGAAATGCCTTTGATTTATGGATATTTTTATACCCTGCTACTTTGCTGAATTTATTCATTAGTTCTAGAAGTTTTCTGATGGAATATTTTTGGATCAATTCCATGTCATTAGCAAAGAGTTATAGTTTGAGTTCTTCTTTTCCTATGTGTATCCCTTTAATTTCTTTTGTCTGATGGCTCTGGCTACAATTTCAAGGACTATGTTGAACAGAAGTGATGAAAGACAATATCCCTGTCTTGTCCCAGTTTTTAGAAGGCTCTCAATTTTTCTCCATTTAAAATGATGTTTGTGACACTAGGATTGCTGTAGGTATACACATGGATGTATGACCAATGTGACCCTGCAATCTGTACACGTGGAAAAATGAGAATTCATACCTTATTTGAATCAAATGTATGATGTCATGATCATTGTGTTGTCTTGAGCAACTAATAAAAAAAATAAAATGATGTTGGCCTTCGGCTTAGCATAGATAGCTTTTACAGTGTTGAAGTATGATCCTACTATTCCTAGTTTTTCTAGTGTTTTGAACATGAAGAGGTGCAGTATTTTGTTGAATGCTTTTTTAGCATTTATTAAGATAATCGTGATTCTGGTCTTTAAGTCTATTGATGTGATGGATTATGTTTATTGATTTCCATATGTTGAACCAACCTTGCATCCCTGGGATGAACCCCACTTGATTTTGGTGCACAATCTTTCTAATATGTTGTTGTTTGCCTCTTGCCAGAGTTTATTGAGAATTTTTGCATCTATGTTCATCAGGGATATTCGTCTAAAGTTTTCTTTCCTTGATGTGTCTTTGTCTGGTTTTGGTATCAAAGTGACGCTAGCCTCATAGAATGAATTTGGAATTTCTTTTCTATTTCATGGAATAATTTGAGGAGTATTGTTATTAGTTCTTCTTGGAAGATCTTATAGAACTTGTCTGAGAATCCATCTGGTCCTGGGCTTTTCTTGGTTGGTAGGCTTTTGATGGCATCTTCTATTTCCTTGCTTGAAATTAATGTTAAATTGCCTATGTCCTCCTGATTCACTTTGGGTAGATCATATGTTTATAGAAATTTGTGTCATTGAGATTTTCTCTCTCATTGGAGTATAAATTTTCAAAATAATTTCTAATTATCTCTGTATTTCAATAGTGTCATCATGATATTTTCTTTTTCATCACAAATTTTAGTAATTTGAGTTTTCTCTCTCCTTCTCTTCATTAGAATGGCTAAGGGTTTATCAATTTTATTTATTTTTTTCAAAGAACCAACTTTTCATTTTTTCAATTTTTTTTTAAAAAAATGTTTTTTGTTTCATTTTCATTGATTTCAGCTCTGATTTTAATTATTTCCTGTCTTCTATTTCTTATGGTGTTGATTTCTTCTTCTTTTAATAAGGCTTTGAGATGTAATTTTAGGTCATTTATTTGTTGACTTTTTCTTTTGATGAATAAGCTCAATGCAGTGAAGTTTCCTCTTAGCACTGTCTTTGTAGTGTCCCAGAGATTTTGATATGTTGTATCAGTATTCACATTTACCTCTAGGAATTTTTTTATTTCCTCTCTGATATCTTCTGCTATCTATTGCTCATTTAAAATATTTAGTCTCCAGGTGTTGGAGTAACTTCTATTTTTTATTTTATCATTAATTTCTAGTTTCATTCCACTGTGATTTGCTAGAATACAGGGTAATATATCTATTTTTTATTTGCTGAGAGTTGCTTTGTGGCATAATATAAAGGTCTATATTAGAGAAGGAACCAAGTGCTATTCAGAAGAAGGTGTATTCACTTGATGGTGGATGAAATACTCTATATATGTCTGTTAAGTCTAAATCATTGTGTTATTGAGTTCTATGGTTTCTTTGATTGGTTTTTGTTTGGGGGGAGATCTATTCAGTGGTGAGAGAGGTGTGTTAAAGTCACCCAATATTACTGTGTTGTGATCTATTTACTTCTTGAAATTGAGAAGGGTTTGTTTGACATATGTAGATGCTCCATTGTTTGGGGCATAGGTATTTACGATTGTTATGTCTTATTGGTGTATGGTTCCCTTAAGCAGCATACCTTTGACTTTGGTTTGAAGTCCACTTCATCTGATATTAGGATGGAAACCCCTATTTATGTGGCCCGTGTGAGTGATATGTTTTTTCCCATCCTTTCACCTTCAGTCTGTGGATGTCTTTTCCTATGATATGAGCCTCTTGAAGGCAGCATATTGATTGATTTTTTTAATCCAATCTACCAGTCTATGTCTTTTAATTGATAGGTTTAGGCCATTAACATCCAGGGTTATTATTGAGACATGGTTTGTATTCCTAGTCATTTTGGTGTATTTGGGGTTTTTAACTTGAGTTGATCTCTCCTTTGATTGTATTTTACTTTAGTGTAGTTCCTCTCTTTGCTGATTTTCATTGTTGTTTTTCATTTCCTCGTGGATTATTTGCCAAGAATATTCTGTAGTGCCAGCTTTCTCATTGTAGATTCTTTTATTTTTTGTTTATGGTGGGAAGTTTTTATTTTGTCATCAAATCTGAAGCTTAATTTTGCTGGGTATAAGATTCTTGGTTGGCATCCATTTTCTTACAGAGCTTGGTATATGTTGTTCCAGGATCTCTTAGCTTTGATGGTCTGGGATGAGAAATCTGCTGCAATCCAAATTGGTTTCCCCTATATGTAATCTAATCATTTTCTCTTGCAGCTTTTACAATTCTCTCCTTATTCTATATGTTAGGCATTTTTATTATAGTATGCCTTGGTGTGGATCATTGAAATTTTGTACATCTGGTATCCTGTAAGCCTCTTGTGTTTGATTGAAATCAATTCATTCATCATGTTTAGAAAATTTTCTGCTATCGTTTCATTGAAGAAACTGCACATTCATTTGGTTTGTATCTGTGCCTTCCTGTATCCTGGTGATTCTTGGTCTTTTCATGTTGTCTCATGATTCTTGGAGGTTCTGTTCATGGCTTCTCACTATCTTCACTGTGTGGTCAACTTTATTTTCAAGATTATATATTTGTCTTCATTGCCTGAGATTCTATCTTCCAAGTGATCTAGTCTGTTGTCGATGCTTTCTGTTGAATTTTTTGTTTAGTTTATTGTTTCCTTCATATCAAGGATTTCTGCTTGGGTTTTCTTTTCAGAGTATCTCTTTTCTTCCCAATCTTGCTACCTGTAATTCCTTTCTTATCTCTTTGTAGGAGCAGTCAATCATTGCCTGTATTTTCTCTCTTAGTGCATTTTTTGCTTTGCAGACCATTTTAATTTTGTACATTCTGAACTCCTTCTCTGACATTTCATGTACTGTGTTGTCAATGGAATCTATTATTGTATCAGCTTGGTTTGTTTGGGGCACTTTCTTCCCTTGTTTCTTCATATTGTCTGAATGTCTTCGTCTCTATCAATGTGGATTCAAGGGTCACTCTGCTCCTACCATGCTGCAGGCAGGCCAGGGTCATGGTCATCTGCTGCTCCTCCTTCTGGGCAGCAGATGGGCTGGGATCACGGTTGACAACTAATTTTTTACCTCTATTTTATTTATTTACTTTTATGTGGTGCTGAGGATCAAACTCAGTGCCTCACACATTCTAGGCAAGTGCTCTTGTCACAATCCCAGCCCCCACTTTATAACTAATTTTTAAAATACCATGTCACCTGAAAGAGCCTGATTCCAAGCTTTACTTATGTTGAGAGGGTATAATGTCTTCCCCAAAAGCTGCTGTTTCCCTGGACAGCATCAGCAAATTTGCAGACAAAAAGAGAGCACATTTACCTCCTCCTTCTGTGCCAGGGTGACTCCAAAGTATCAAGCTCACCCCAGAACACCACACTCAGAGGACACTGGCCTGATGTTTTTCAAATCCCTCCCATGGCCAGCCCACCACAGGAAATGTGTCTTTCTTCACAAATGTGCACGCATCTTTCCAAAAGTTTCAAAAATGGGCCTTTACTTTAATACCTGCAATCTTTTCCCAAGTTTTCTGTTATACTAAGTTGTATTGTTTCTTTTCTTTTCCTTTTGAGTTACATCATGACCCAACCTAAACATGACTGGTATTTTGAAAACATGGGTCTGGAAATGTACAATGACTATAATAACTTAGCGCATCAGGAGGATCATCACCCTTTGACACTAAATGATACACTCATGAAGTTGTCATCTGAGGATGGTGGGTGTTCTTCCACATGCACTTACTGTATCACATAGGAGACCATGATCCCACATACCAGAGCAACGCTGAAGGCTATACACGCGATTAGAATCACTTGAACAAGAGCAGGTCTGTGCGGAATCACTGCTGACATGGAAAGAAGACAAGTGCTCAAAAATCTCATTTTAGCTGAATTTCTCAACTAACATGTGTTAATCACACTGCTATTACAAAGAGAATAGAAGACAAAAAATACCTTTAAGAATATATTCTTAATTTCTTAAATATACTAAGGCTATATTGCACAGGCTGTATAAACAAATACAATTTTAGTTCCCAACAATCTCTGATGCCTTTTTTTATTTTTTAAATATTTTTTTTTATTTTTTAGTTGTAGTTGGACACAATACCTTTATTTATTTATTTTTATGTGGTGCTGAGGATCGAACCCAGGGCCTCGCACATGCTAGGCAAGCACTCTACCGCTGAGCCACGATCCCAATCCTGCCTTTTTTTAAATCTACCTCCAATCCTCAAAGTCATCTCTTGCTCAATAGTTATACTGGTTTCTATAATGACATCTGTCATCTGGGGATATACTGATCCCTAGAACAGTGGCTGTCATCTGGGTACATCCTGATCCCCATAGAGACCCTGTCATCTGGGGACATTCTGGTCCCTAGAGCAACACCTGTCATTGATGGGTACTTTTCACCTGTCATCGTGTAGCTGCAAGGAGAATGGCTTAGTTCTATGAATCAGACTAGATTTCCTCAGGTCATCTGGTACTGTAATGAAAGGGGATTACTGGGCAATTTGGGGTAGGATTCTACGAACCTCTGTTCCAAGAGTCAGATTTCAGGGTTATGGTCTGTGCTATAAAGCCATGGCTGGTCTTTGTAAGCTCAGATGTTTTGCTCTTCTTTACGTTATCTGAAATTTAAAACAATTACTAGGGAATTATTGTTTGTACAAGTTGAACAGAAAACAATTGCTAAAACAGGTACATTACTCAGCTACTTATAAAACCTGCCAGTTGTCTATGTCCAGTCCCATGCTTGGCCTCTTTCACCTTGTGTCCCAGCAATGATATAGAATGGAGAATTTTCTTTTTCCTCCAAAGTTGGTGATTATTATATAGGATGGACCGGGAAGAGAAAGCACAAGGTAAAATTTCTAATAATTCAAAGATCCAAATAGTAGATAATCAAAATTCTAAACAAATGGATCTCAGCTCCAGCAGGAGGCTATACGTGGAGTTCCATGAATTGAGACTTGGCTTTGTCTGGTGTTCATTTGCTCAATCCCAGCTCTGAAGTCATCCCAGATCTGGTCAAGGTCAGTCTGCTTCAGTCTGTGAGGATTCTGACTCCTGTTTGATGCATGGTAAGCAATGTTCTGAAGTCATCCAGGGCAGCTATCCTTATTCAAGACCCAGCTAGCTCTCTGTTAGTTGAAAATATACAGTGTCATTCCAGATTCAATCACAGCAGCTCAGAAAAGATGTCCTTTCAGTGTGAAGAATGCAATCTCACTGCAGGCAAACCTACCAGGTAGATACCGCAAGCTGCTTAAATTGCCTAAGCTTCAACTTTCTACATTACAAATCACTTTCCTCAAATGGCTGTTGTAATAACTTCTAAGAGGTAGTTTTTCCAGTGTTCCTGTTCATGTTAAAAAGTTGTGACATTCCCATGGGATCCACATACTCTGGGGGCCTAAAGAAACCTGGAAGCAGCAGCCCCTTCCCAGGCACCAGCTGTCCAGCACCAGGATGGAGAGTTTTCTGACAGCCGAAAGTGCCCTGAGGTGGAAACGCAGCCTGATGCTACACAAACCACCTGGCCGCCGGGCACCGGGAGTGCAGGTGACCACCGTAGATGGTGAGCCATGGGTGCCCAGGGTTCTCTGCAGCTCTGACAGCTTCCTGAATGTCTGCATGTGTTCACAGCGAAATGCTGCAGAGGGAAGAGCAGCAGTTTCATGGTCAGTGCCATGAGACTGAAAGTGGCCAACGGGAGGCCATTAGAGACAAGGGAAGAGGCAGGATCTGCTTGTGTGAGAACCAAGCCCAAGTGAGCAGGCTCAAGGAGAGGAGGAGTCAGAGGAGCTTTGCTACAGATGGGGAAGGAGGGCGGGTGCATCCTGGAGGAAGCCATGGGGTCGGAAGGCAGGATCATGAGATGCTGTGAATGCATCGTGTACTGCATCCTGCGCAGCCTACTGTACCAAAGCACCAGAAACCTGTTGGCTTCTGGACAGCAGAGCTGTGCTTCCCCAGCTCTGGACTGGGCACTGGGGCCCCCTGGCTGCCCTATCAGAGGCCAGACCCTTCTCTGGACTTCTAAGGCACTAGTCCCATCCATGAGAGCACTGTCCTGGGACCTGCCCCCGCAGGGCTCCGGCCATAACCCAGGGCAGTGTGGTTTCAACACACTTCTCGTCACAAGGATCAGCAGCTAAGGGGCCCCGTGACTGGGGAGGCTGAGGAGGAGGGTGGTATGTGCAAGGCCTTGACTCAAAATAAAAAAATAAAATGACTGGGGATGAAGCTCACCAGTGGAGTGTCCCTGGTTCAATCCCCAATACCAAAACAAAACTAAACCCAGCAGTGCTCGGGTCCCAGGAGGAGCTGCTCTTTTCCGGGGTCTGGTTAGACAACCACCCCTGCCCTCCGGGCAGAGCCATCGCCCCTGAAGCCCAGGAGCAGCAAGCATTTCCACAGGCCATCCCTGGTGCAAGCTCATGAAACGTGGGGTCCCATCGCCTGGGGGGCACTAGGTGCCTGGGCGCGGTGCTGGGAACCTGTGAGTGGAAGGCGCACCCCTGAGCTTTGGGAAGACCCTGCGTGTTCGGGACCACAGCTACACCGACTGCTTCTCCTTCTCTGCACTTCCCCATGCTTTGATGCTTGGGGGCCTGAACTGCCCCTCCTAAGAGAAGGGGCCAAGGACAGGTAGCAGTCGTCTCTCTAGGAGGGAGAGAAATGGGTAGACAGCAGTCCCCCAACGCTCCTGGGAAGGGAGGATCCGACCTGAGCCACTACGCCCTGGGCTACTCTTTCCTGCCTCTTGGGGTGCATTTAAGGCAGAGGGGACGGCAAGGAGCCAAGTCATGCCAGGCCTGAGCACAAAAAGGAAGAGAAGGGCAGACTTCAAGAGGCAGAAGGAGCACCAGGGCCCAGTGGTCACCCTCAGTGTGCTCCAGGGGACGAATCTGCAGGAAGAGATGCTGCCGGAAAGGCCGCTCCGCTGTGTGTGTGTGGTCACACCTCGTGTGTCACCCAAAGGGAGCTGGAGCTTACCCCAGCGCTGGTGTCCTCCTCTGTGGAGTGGGACCCTCACCACTCACCCTCTGAGGGACGCTGCACTCGAGTTTGCCCAGAGGTGGTCTGCCCCGGGGTGAGTGCCTGGGGCCCACCCAGCTCAGCCCCGGGTGTGAACGGATCCTCTACCCTCCTAGGCCCCTCAGCTCACCTGCAGTCCTCCCGGAGACTGTGAACTTGTGGGCGGGCTCAGCAGGTCTCTCTGTGTGGGCTTTGAAGAGGATCAAAGGCAAAGTTAGGCTCCAGGTCAACTAGGGAGGGTGAGGACAGGACTTGGCATCAGACAGGGAGCCTGACGGTGTCCGCCTCCCTAGATGTAAAGGCTGCTGGTCGGGGGCCCAACACCCAGGAGACACTGTGAGGTGCTGGTGGCACCCAGAGCCTCCTTTCCTGAGCCAGACTCTCAGGGGCACTAGTCAGGCCTGGGTGCAGCTCTGTGGTGGAGCCCTGGCGCAGCACGCACAGGCCCTGGGTTCTGTCCCTGGCACTTTAAAGAGGAAAACGACCAGAAAACCATGTGTTTGGATGCTGTCCACCTTTGCAGTGAGCTGGGACATGTAGGCCCCAGAGCTTGTGTCACAGATGGGGCCAGAGCCGGTGGGCGAGCACAGAGCCCCTTCTGAGACACACAGCACACACGATACATGCGGCACACTAGGACGAGGTGCAGACAGCCTCTCCCAGGCCCAGACCAAGACTGCTGGTGAGTACCACCCTCACAGACGGCCAGGGCGGGCTCTGCTGTTTTAAGATAGACAGCTTCCCGTTCTCGAGTTAAAAAGCATAAGCTGGGAATGTGGCCCAGGCCTACGACCCAGCAACTCTGAGGTGAGGCGGGAAGATCGCAAGTTCCAGACCATCCTCAGCAACTTAGTGAGACCCTGTCTCAAATAAAACTAAAAAGGGCTGGGTATGGAGCTCAGTGTGAGAGTGCCCTGGGTTTAATTCCCATTTAGGGGAGGGGACAGTGACACAGAAAGACAAGTGGCAGTGAAGGACCAAGCTGTGATGGAAGTCAGCCCTTCCCTGTGGTCTGGGGGGAGTGGGCTTCCCTGGTGGCTTCTGAAGTGGGCCCACCGGAGGCCAGCACCGTCCCTCAGGCGAGAGCAGGCTGGCTTCCCAGGGTGCCTGTCTGGGGGCACGCACAGATCTGTGGGAGCAGCACCCGGCACACCCGCCCCACGAGCGAGCACGGCAGACGCACCTGGAGCAGGGGAGAAGGTCGCGCGAGTTCCAGAAGGAATGATGCTGTAGCCCTGCGCCAGCATCTCCGAGAGGTTGCTGAGCCGCTGGGGCTCCTCATGGCCTGGGGAGAGGGCCTGTGGCCGTGAAAGGCGGGCACCAGCCACCCCCCGCCCGGCCTCCCCTGAACCTCCCCTGGACACCCACCTGTCAGGTCAGTGGTGCTTCCCTGGTCAGGGACCCCGTCTGCCTGAGGCAAGCACAAGAGAGGCGGGCAGCCCAGCGAGACCCGCAGCAGAAGCACCAGAGATCCCCCAGCGTCCATCACTGCGACAGCCAGCCGGCCAGAGGGGCGAACGGAAGCCTTCCAGGCCAGCAGGGCCTCGCCAGCGGGGTCTGAGGAAGGAGCTCTGCTCCCCCCAGAATGCCCAGTGATGGCACAGAGCCACCAGTGTGAGGTCAGCGCGAGTCACCGCAGCGAGATTCCTTCACAGAACCCACCAGCCACCGCGAGGCAGGGGATCAGGACCGGTCCTGGCCTCCTGAGGGCAGGGAGCGGGAGTCGGAGAGGCATGGCCACCAGCCAGGTGCCCTACGGCCCAACGCTGGGTCGCGTCCTGGTCCACATGGCTTGATCCCTCTACGCCCAAAAAATAGGAGGAAGAAACAGACCCCACCTGCCAGGGTCACCGCGGGGACAAAATAAAGCAAGCCACACACACTGGGAAGAACCAAGGCCCAAGGACATTCTGTGGGACAGGGACGTCCGCAGTAAAGTACCTCCATGCCTGTCCAGCCTCAGGCACCAGGGTCCTCCCGGCTGCCTCCAAGAGTTCCTCTAAGGAAGACCAAGAGAACCATCTCAAAACCTGGAAGTGGGACGGAAAACAAGATGGCCTAGGAGACCACCAGGCTGGGCGCGGGTGCCCACCTCTACTCCCAGCAACTTGGGAGGCTGAGGCCACAGAGCCTCACAACTTAGCAAGATGTTGCCTCAAAATAAAATAAAAATAAAAAGGGCTGGGATATGGCTCACTGGTAGGGCAGCCTGGGTTTCATCACTACGACCAAAAATCCAAAACCAAAGACAAAAACAACCAGCTGGGCCCCTGAACAGGCTGTGCTCCAGAGGGGTCCGCTGCCCAGCAGCCACAAGGCGACCCCAGGGCTCAGAGCCTGGGGAGGAGCTGCCTCCATCCACCACCCTAGGGGAGCCCAGCCACAGCACCTTCCCAGCAGGCCTCAAGCACACCCCACAGTGACCCCCGGGACACCAGCCAGGGCTGCTGTGTCCAGCGACACCCACCCTGCTCCCAACATCTGCCCTGTGCTGAGCAGGCCAGGCCCCCAGTGACTCCTGTGGGAACGAGAGTCCCTCTTGCTGCCCCTCACAGTCCCCCAGACCAGGCTGCCCCTGCGCTGTCCCCACAGGCCCTGTCATTCCTCATAGGTGCTGCTGTCTCCATGGACTTGGCCTTTTAGTGCCCATGGGCCCCTGCTGACCCCCAGAGGCACCACCTCTTGAAGTTGTTTTGGGATAGCCACTTCCCCAGGGTCACTAGCCTCACTCATTGTCCCTGTGGCTCTGAGAGCGCCTGGCTGTTCCCGACCTGGGTCAGCCTGGGCTTTACAGTTCACCGCCCGTCCATGGGCAGAATGCCATGGTGGCCATGGGTGCTGACCACCGTGAGCCTGTGTCTCTCCCTCCATCTCTCACTTCAAAACTGGGAGTCGGGAATCATCTCCAGGAGGCAGAACACTGGCCAGACTGGGAGGCAAAGAGTTCCGCTGCACCAGCAGCTCATTTCAGAGTGGACAGAGGAGAGCCACCTGGGCAGTGGCTTCCAAGCCGTCTTCTGGTGCACGGCCAGGCCCACATCCCCACGCGAGCAGGTCCAGTAGCCGGCTCCTGTTTCTGTGGCACACAAAGCTACATCCCTGCTTGGGGTCTCAATTCCCAGCTGACACTGACGTGTTTGCTGAGACTGGGGTCTTTGGAAGCCGGGCGGGCCCTGTTGGCAGAGCTCAGTGCCTGGCTCTCAGGACGGAGGTCCCACTTTCCTGCTAGCTGCCAGGTGAGAACTGCTCTCAGCATTTGCATCCGTCCTGTTTCCAGCCAGGAGAGCACCTCCACAATCCCCAGGTGGTGCTTCCTTCCTCAAGGTCAGCAGGAAGATCCCTCCCAGACTTTGAAATTGTACCTCAGCAAGACCTGCCCTGTTTGAGGACTCAGTTGATTAGGTCAGTCCCACTCAAATGGTCTCCCTTCTCATTAATCCACAGACAAGTGGCTTGGGACTTTAATTACATCACTCATCACATCACAAGGCACAGCCACAGACACAAAACGCATCACGGCCGCAGGCCTCCCACATGCGAGAGGCCTGCCTGCACACCAGGGGCAGAATTCTTGAAGACCATTTTGGAAGTCCACCACCACAGTATCCAAAGCCCTGGAGAACCTTCATAAGATGCAGTGCACAGGCCCAAACTGAAGGACCCCCTGCTTCAGCACCTGGGTGAGTCCAGGGTGTGGTCAGTTGTAAATAACGCCCCGAAGCTTCCAATGGCTAGGGAGTGTTGGGAACCGACAGGCCTGTGGGCCCGGTGGGACTGATGAGGAAACTGCCCAGAGGCTGCTCCCGGCACTTCCATGTCCACCAGAACAGGCGTCTCCTTCCTGACAAGCAGCTGCTTTGTGGCTGTGCTTTGGGGTAACTGTTCCTCCCCTCTGCCTCCTGGGAATGGCCCTCAATCCCAGGGCATGCTGGGCCTCCAGGGAGGCTGAAGGGCTGGACAGGCCCCTCAGCCTAGCTACAGCTGTGCTCGACTACACCCTGGTCAGCACAGGCACGTGCAGGGGGTTAGCCAACGGTGGGTCCAGGCCGCAGCACTTGCTCTTTCAGGGTGGACACGTCCTTTAGCTAACGGTTCATGAGACCAAACGTGGACACCTGCAGGCTGGTGGCCTCTGATCAGGTAGTCTTTCCCTGAGACGGCTCCTACCTTGCCTCCCTGCGGGAGGCCTCACACAATGCCCGCCCCTGTGGGCACTCCGCCCCTCTCCTGGTGGTTGAAGGGGGACGAGCACTGCCTGTCTCCGGGAGCCACTCTCCTGTCAAGGTGTTTCTCTGGGTGGCGTGGCCATGTAGGGGAAGCAGCGGCCAGGACAGGGCTGGAGGGAGAGTTACAAGTGAGACTCGGGTGCCAGCGCACCCCCAGCCCAGCCTGCTCTCTGTGGCTGAGACCTGTGAAGCCATGAGCCCCCACATAGACTTCCTCCTCTAAAGTCGTCCTGTCAGTCTTCTAGTCACAGCAGCAAAGCCAGCCGACAAGAGCGCTCTGTCAGGGAAGCAGGCAGCACGCATCGCTGGCCGAGGGGCTCCCCAGCCAAGGGGCTCCGGAACCACACTGCAGGCCAGTCCTCGGGAGGGAGCCCCTGGCTGTGGAGGGCGGGCACGGAGCCTGCAGAGAGCTCAGGACGTGAAGGTCAGGGTCAAGGGTGCTGCGGGGGAAGGCACCGAGGCCGCAGGGCAGGAGCTGGGAGCGCCTGACAGTGAGGACTGTGGCTGAGGGTTAGAGCCATCTGGAGGCAGCGGGTGACAAGGGGGAAGAGCAAGAAGCCAGTGTGCAAGGGAGTGTCCAGGGGGACCCACAGCAGGAAGGCGAAGGGGGACGTGATGGCTGGAGGGGACTGGGTCTGTCGGGTTTCAGAGTTAGGGAGGGGAGGGCGTGGTGAAAGGGACATGGCCGAGGGGCAGGCAGGTCGGACCCAGCCACGGAGGGGTCCTGGAGTCCTGGACACACGCGCACTAACAGCACTGCGCTCCGGGGCAGTGTGCAGCTGTGAGGGATTTCACCTGACTCCTGAAGGGGCTGAGCCACAGGAGGCCTCTTAAACACATTTTAAAGGTCATAAGGCTGGGACAAGGTCCCCAGGTAGGTTGCCAGGGTACACTGTGGGATCCCTGGGAGTCCAGACCCGCTGCTGGGGTCCGATCTCATCACACTCAGGACAGCTCTGGACACGTGCTCTGCCACAGAGACCTGCTGACCCCACCTCTCCTAGGGCCTCTGCCTCTGAAGGCCACAGGATAAACCATCGACTCTGTGAGTCCAGCAAGACGCCTAGCATGGCCACCAGTGCACCAGGCCCTGTGGGCAAGGGGACGTCACAGTCACACCTGTGGTCGGACAGTGAACACAGCCTCTCCACAGAGTGCGGCCATGTCGCAGGACGTCCTGGGAGTCCTGACTCCCCGGGACGAGATGGCCCTTGTGCAGCGCTGACACCTACCCAGGAAGGGTCCTTGGCCCAAGTTCTTGGCTCCCTCCTGCCCCTTCCCCTCACTCTGGGTGGACTGGCAAGGTTTCCCTTCACTCCTGACCTCCCTCAGTCGAGTGTTCTTTTCACCTAAAGATTAAAAGAGGCACACACCGAACACTGAGACCCTGGGAAACGCCCTGGCGTGCACAGGTCCAGGGAGGGCAGACCGCCCTCCAGGGAGTGCCCCAGGCCCACTGCCCCATCACCCTCAGAGCTGCCAGGGCCAAGTGCTAGGAAACCCAGATCCCAGAAGATGCAGCAGTTCCAAACTCAACCCAGATTTCTTCCTATTCCCAGTGATCTGAGCTCAACTCGTGTTAACAGCAATGCTTCAGGACAAAGGAGACAGTGACTTCATTTCTTTTTGCTTAGGATTTTCTTGAATTTTATTATCAAATCTCTACTATAGAAACACTAAACAAAAGGGGAACATGAGGGTAAAACATCACTAGAGACGCAGAGCACCGTGGCTGGGACACGGCCTCTGGAGCCAACCTCAGCTCTACTCCTTACTAGCTCTGGTCCTCAGCTGGGTTCCCCAACATTTCTGCCTCGGTTCCCCATTTGTAAAACTGGGGTAATGGTAGTACCTAGTTAATGGGATTAAACAATTTAATATCTGAAAAAAAATTCAAAACAAAACGGCAAATGATAAGTGCTATATGTATTTGAAGAACAAAATGAAGACATCTTAAATTAAGTGGGTTAATTTCTCCATGGGCCTCACAGGTCCTTATCCATACACACATTTTTTAGATGTGTTATAGTAGATATCACACACAATTCTATGTTCTTTTAATTCCTTTGTGCTATGTATATTGAAGCCGTGTCCAAAGTTATAATTTATAGTGATCGCCTAAAACAAATTACAAACTACCACCCAAGGAGGGAGTCATGAGCAGAGACAGGCAGCGGACCCTGGCCCCAGGTGGTGAGTGTCACCTTCGACCCACACCAGCCTCACCCTTCCAGGCTGCACCCTTTCTGCCCTCAGTGAT